TCCTGCAGTTTACACTCATCTCATATTGGAAGGGGCACCGGGGGTACATCTCACAGGAACTCCATGCGCCGAGCCATCAATCAGTGCTACAGTGAAACATCTAAAAATCAAACTTTTCTGAAGTCTGTAATAGGTCTTCCAAAGATCTTAAACCAATATCTTGGTTTAAAATTTCACAACACGAATTGTTGTTTTTAACCCAAAAGAATATTTTAAAATTTTATTATCATGTGCTTCTCGGCTTAATTTATGTGCCCTCATTAAATTTCAGAAGAAAATTATTGGTAAACTCAAGAATTTTCGATACATTTATTAACAAATCTCAAATCAAATCAGTTAAGTTAATTGTGTTTTTTTGAAATGGTTTAACATAATGAAGTTCAACTGTATATTTCTATGAGTATGTGCACTCGGACAACAATGCGTTGTCAATGAAAGCCGCAAACTGGTTTCGGCCTAGGAAAATCAACGCAAACAGTAGTGCAAAGTTGGCCGGTGAAAACGCAGTGAGCTCGACCACCACTTACCTATGCACTTCCGAGAGCATCTTAAATATCGCGATATTAATTTCTAAGTAAACAAAAAGAATCGCGCCAGAAGGGCACCCAAAAAATTATTTTGTTTCGAGAGATATGAAACCCTACACACGTCGTTGACTATTAAATTTCAGGCCGCACAATTATAACTAAATATAAATATAACATTACCTGGCACGTGTTGTAGCAAAGTTGTTCAGCGAAAGTACTTAGCTTCTTTTGCTAAAAAGAATATCAGCCTTGTCTTCATTTAAAAAAAAATATAGAAATCTTCAAAAATACTGAATAAAGCTTACTTTAAGTGATGATATTATTGATTAAACAGTTCAGATAAACTATTCAGTGCTAAATATTTGTTAAAAACAAACTCTAAACCCGAATCTTTGATGTCTTCACTGGTGGCACTGTCACAACTCTCTCGTTACGCTATCATATCGATTGTTTGCAAGGTAAATTTGATCAGCCAATTGAAAAGTTAAGTCTGCACTCATAATGGAAGGGATTTGGTCCACCCTGGCGTGAACTCTTCGAGAGCCAACGAACAGAAGCAATCGGCAAGTGGTAACGTAATACTCGATCGGAGAGATAAACAAACGCGAATCAAACTCGATTCAAGACCAAGTGAATCATAAAATCAAATCTGGTTAGTGCTCTACGCACAATGAAGTTTGAAATCGGCACCGGAGCATATCGAATAGTCAAACGCAACCGAAATCGATATCCGTATCGAAACGTGGAGCAAGTGCAAGGGCAGATCGTTTCAAAATATAAGCAAAGATCACTTGTCAGGACAGTGAAGACTCGTCTAAATTTAACCACAATACTGGCGGCTAATTGAAGCTTGGCGTAGGGACTCGGATCTTCATGGAGACAAGCGTTTGAGGGGTCTGATTGTTATTGATATTCTGATCATGGCTTCGCATGCGGTTAAGATCATTCGAATGTGCGGTTGCTGAAATCCTGCACCGAAAAAATATGACCTCAATAATCCATTTTAAAAATATTTAATTGGTATTCATTGTTTTGAAATTAATAACTGAGTTATCTAACAGTAAATAAATTATACTTAGCTTACTAACAGAACATTTAATTTATAGGCTTATATCCATTTTTATTTTATATTATTTTATTATTAATTGAACAGCAGGATTTTACATGAATTTTATTTTAAAGGCAATTATCTATTTATGTTTTTTAACTGTATGGAACTGATTGTGTTTTATATACATTTTTTCCTGTGTAGCATTGGATACAGACTTATTGGTACTTAACTGAGCAGACCCTATACAGAACAAACATTTCAGTAATTTCTGTTTTTTGTTTACCAGAGTTTGCACAATATATCTTCGAAGTCGGCTTCATAAGCCATTCAATTCACGTTTTGCCATGAATGTTAAGTTACAATGGTCAACACAATTTAAAACAACCCATTTAGAGCCGGTAAGCTATTCAGTGTTAGGAATAAAGGGGTCTCAATGACACGACCACATCATTATCATGGTTGCCTGCACTTTGTACTTAAATATTAACATCTGTGAAAAATCGTAAGTACGTTTTTAAAAAAAGGCCCAGAAACTGACACAAAATTGTCACGTACATTTAAATCAGCTATTATGAAAAAATACGAAAACATTTATTTGAATAGGAAATAAATAAATTGAAACTAAATACTGATTCATATTTACTAGTTTTGTAAAGAATACAACTTTTTAAAGGTTAAACACAGAATACAAATTGTTCGACGGTATTATATTTAAAGCTGTAAGCTCTCATCTACCGATAAAATCAACTAATAAAATTAAGAATATCGAATGATTGGTTTCTTTTATTTTTGTTTGGTGTTGACAGCAATGCAAACGAAGCTCGCTTGTTCTTTAAGAGTTTTGTTTATTGTGTTTTGACTCCCTCCAGTTATAATTAACTTCGACTTAATGTATACAAAAATAGAAATAAGTTTCGGAATCTTCAAGTAGAAACATCGTCTAGCATATTTCTCAATTGAGTTCTCAGCTCAAACATTATTGGCCTCGGCTACTAGATATGTGTGTAGTAATGAGCAAGCAATGAATCATTATTAAATTTTTGCTTGCTTTCGGGAGTTTCTACTGAAGTGGCAACGACATTGATAAAGACAAGGGTACAAGTGAATAAATTTTAATGGGTTGATAAGATCGTTCTCCCAACACTACCAAAGCAATTGAACTTAATATATGAAAATGTCACAAATAAATCTGTAAGAGATAACGCCATAATTGGAGGATCACAAAGACATTGATTTGAAAGTGGACAGTAGAGTGAAACTAGTCAGCAAGTCATCCAACTATAAATACAGATTACACTGCCAAATCAGAGACACCATTCCACTCCATCAAGCCAAAAGATTGCGCCATGCAATGCAATCTCTCGGATACATACGGCCATTGGAAAAACGGAACCAAAACAATCGGCCAACCCGACCAAAATCGCACAGCCAACCGACGGGAACTCAGACAAGTGCGCTCCTCTGGGCTTTTTTTTTTTGGCTCGAAATCTTATCACAGCACTGGCTGTTGACTGTTGTTTTTGAGCTTTGCTGGAAATAAAAAGTGCTGGCGATAACATTTAGGCCATTTTTACTGCTGTGTCCCTCCTTTCTGGCCCGCTTCAGTACTCCGGGAGCAGCTAGCTCATCCCGTCCACATATGTCAGTTGTTCGAGTGTCAATCGTAAATTGGAATTGTGTCGAATAGACGAGATGGACTTCTGATGACGCCTGCTGCAAGTATCTCCAAGTGCTGGCTGTGTATCTTTGGCTATATGGGCCACGTATCTACTAGCTCATGTACAGCAATAAACACTTAAAGAAAACTTGGCTAAAGAAAATAGACCAAGAAAGTTGTACATATATCAGGAAAAACTTTGATCCACAACTGACTGTAGGTAACATAGAAAACGTTTTGTTAAGTTTTTTTAAATACCTTTTCTTAATCCGTGAAAAGCATTATTATTTTTAACAATATATAAAAATAATGGTAGAGTTAAAATTCAGAATTAGGAGAAACTTTAGTTAAACTCTTATTCTACTTTTAGTTCTTCGAGCAAAGTATTAACAAAACCTAAATTTTCCGTTTTGTTTTGTATTTCAATTTTGGATCACTTAACAGATCAAAAATGTTATTAGTTTGGGTTAAGACGTTTTAAATGTTTGATTTGGGCCTAAACTGTTTTCGATTTCAAAAAATAGTTTTAAAAAAATAAATATTATTTTGGCATTATCTTGTCTTTTTTTTACTGTGTTTTGAGTGTAGATTAACTGCATATTGATTTGTGAAGCGAGCGGGGCGGTTTTGCAGAGTATAGCATTAGTGAGTCTCACTTGTGCGGAATCCACTGTACACGAGATAATGGCTCCCCCAACACTCTGATAGAGTACCCCATACAAACGCTTGATATATGCGAACATTTTTGTACTTTTTCGCTGTATTGGGTCGCGTTTATCAATGTAACGAGTCGCTGCCGTCCTTTGGCGATGATAAATTGACAGATTGCACTTGTCCAACGTTTTCGTTTAGTACTCCGCCGTTTTCAGATACTGCTGAGGTCACTGTCACTTTAGATGGGGAAAATGTCCGATCCGATTGATCGCAGACAAGTCGGATATTCTGAGTTTTACGAGCCCAAAGACTGAATGAAATTTTTTATGTGAAGTAAAGATGAATGTGAACTTTGCCAGTAAAAAGTGTTGATGACTTAAATATGTTATTCTGAAGTGATCTTAACCAGATAAAGTTCGTGTTATCTACTTGTATATTTATATTTTAATACACATATAAATATTATATATTAGTTATATTTAGCTTTCAACTTAAGTATAACAAACCTCAAGAAAATAGTTAACCTCGAGCTTTCTTAAATTGTATTTGTTTTCTAATAAACGAAACTGATAAAAGCGATACAAAATTGTAACAACAGCACTCGAAAGATACAATCTGACAACATTTACTTGTTGTTCCCATCTTCATACTCTTTAAAAATACAAGTGTAAAAATATATGATAAAAACCCAAATAATCTGAAGATTTTGACAGTTAGCAACTTATATCGAGTGTTAAGGAATAAAATACTTTTGCCTTAAAGACTAAATTATTAAGGGTTTAGTGCTGAGATATAGCTACTTTGTTCTTACAGTTACACTAAGTGTTGGATATCGAATGAGGGAAATCCCAAAAGATACATAGAATTAAGTGAAGCCCCATTCAAGCTTGGAAGTATAATTTCAGTTTGTTTTCTTTTAGATTTACTCTTTCGCATTTGCAAGTTTCGTATACACTTAATAGTTGATTGATATTGGCAATCGGAAATCGCCGAGGTAGGGACCTTTGGGATTGTTGATAAAATGCTCACCACGCGAATTACCCGACTTTTAATCAGTTTATTAACGCCTCTTTCTATATTTTGCAGGGGTTTGAAGTCCGCTGGCTTCGGTATGTATTCCACCAAGGAGACAAAGAGCGCGGCAAAGACGCAAAAAAAGGCGCAGAAGGTGAACAAGAAGCAGCAATTAAAGCAGCAGCAGCAGACATCGTTGCCAAATGGCAATAAAGTCAAATCGCCAGCGAATGCCAAGAATACCCAGCCAAATAATAACAATAATCACACTAACATCAACAACAACAATAACAACAACAGCATTATAGTGCCGAATAATAATAGCAAAAGTAGCACATTGCCTACTAACACGGCGCAAAAATTCCGGGAGCACTACGAGGCGGAAAAGCGGAACCAGGGTGTTAAAATGGGCGCCACCACTTTGCCCGGCTACGAAAATGTGCCCAAAATGGAGCGATCCAATAGCTTTTCGTTGCGCAACAAGCTCTCCAAACTCATAAATCATTTGACGGGCAGCAAGGAGAATCTATCGAGGACCGATGACGATGAAGATTCCAGCCGGACACCTTACATATTCACCCGTAGTCGTTCGATGATACAGATGAGGCGACCAAATCGTCGGAGTTTCATCGAACCGCAATTGGAGCAACTATCGGAGGAAACGGAGAAATCGGGGGATCTCACCTCGCCGGCTTCACCGCGAAAGACTTCGGTGGCCGATTTCCAGGTCAGCTCACCGGTGCTCCTGAGAAGGAGTGAACTTACGGGATCGGTGAGGACCCCGGCACGTCGCCAATCCGCCCAGCCCTTCACCTCGACCCCTTTGGAGGAGGTGCAGTCGCAGGTTCAACGCAAGGGCTCGCTGATGTCGCTCAATCAGACGGAACCCACTACCAATCCCCAGCTCAATTTCCAGAAAAGACGATCCAACACGCTTATAGCTTCCTTTAAGAGCACCTTTTCGGGACTTACCAGCGGTGGTGGTGGGGCCGAGAAGAAGGAGAAGATGAATCCCAAGTGGAGCGCCTCCCTGCAATCCCTGCAGGCCATCGACAATATGGTCAGCTATGCCAACATGTCCTTCATCGACTACGACAAGTTCAATGGCTATGAGAAGCAGCTGGAGCGTCAGCAGTCGCTGATGAGTTTGGCAGAGCAACCGGTTCCCACCGCCACCCAGCTGCCACTGCCTCCGTCGGCATTGACCCACTCGCATTCGCCCTCGCCGCTGGGTGAACCGCCTCGCACACCCGTCCACCTGAACTCCTCCTTGGACGAGTCGGTCAGGACGGTGGTGATGCGCCCCAAGAGGAGCAAGGCCTCCCTGGAGGGCAGAAGCAAGACCTCCCTGGAAGGCAGGAGCAGCATGGTCAGCCTGAACAGTGCCTACAATCTGGACACCGACTACGAGCACAATCTGGACCGAGTGCACAATGTCTATCGGGAGAGCTTGGACTCACGGACACTGGAGCTGCTGAACCTGCGATCACGGAACTCGTTCATCCAGGACCAGGCGGTCCTGTTCGACGCTTTGAATCTGGAGGATGGATCGGTGGCGCGACGGTGCGCATTGTGTTCGAAACGCGTTGGCCGGAGTGGAAGCATGCGGCAGCAGGAGCGGGATGCCGTCGACGGGCGAGGGAATCCAATAAAACAGGTGAGTTCAAATGCTTTTCTTAGTCGTCAAACCAAAAAGCAGTAATGGAATACTTATATAATTGGTGTTAATGGCAATCTGGTCGTTAGATCGCCAATTTTGGTCTTTGTTTGTAATACCAAATGAATTTTCAATATTCTCCCTATGACTTCTAAGGATTATTTTAAAGAAATCCAATGTTAAAGTGACTAACTGACTAAGTTTAGTACCTTTTGTTTGTTTGGTGCTCTTATCATTGCACTTATAAAACTCTTACATCGAATCTGTAATATATATGACTCAATAAGTTATGACTTCTGGCCATAGCTTACCGATAAATGTAGGGTTTTTCTCAGAATGTTCAATGTTTCGTTAAACCCCTTCAGTTTACTCCGGAAGTTCTATGTGGTTCATAAGGGGAAATTCGTCTTAAAGCGTCATCGATTTGATTCAACAGCTCATGAACTTTTTTAATCGCATAAATGAGTGTAATATTTGCATTTCTACGTAGGTTGTGTGTAGCTGCCCAGTTTAACTGTTGTAGGCACCAGTTCTTCAGCAACACCAATAGTTGCCATAATAAACTTCTTTAAATGGAAATTTCATTCTTGTGAAAGGTATCTATTGTTTTAGCTTGGCAAGGTTGCAATCTGAAAAAGCTTGTTAATGATCTAAGAAAATGTAAAATTGAAAAGGATTGACTGACTGTTTAAATAATTTATAAAAATAAAAACGAGCAAACGAAGCTCAGACTTAAAGTCATCAAACCACAAAAAAACCCCTAACCAAGTTTCTCAATTTATATTGTTTGCTTATCTTCTTGCACACATTCTCAGTTTAACATTTAAAGAGATTAAAATGTTTAAAGTATATAAATATCTTTTACTGTAAAGAAATTATATAAAAATAGAATTTACTAGAATTAGAAATGCGAAACGACTGGCTTGACAATATCAGTAAACAGCAGTTTTCCCTAATATTTGAGTTTAAAAATTTAGCTTAAAGAAATCAAAAACATCGACCCTAAGGAATATTATTTTATCTGTTAGGTAGTGTTTTTTGTACATATGTCAAAAAACTGAGACAGACTAGCGAATTTCGCCAAATCCCACAAGTATTTCCCGAATGCACAAAAACTTGTATTAATGGCAAAGTCTTAACTATTTGTATTTGCCAAAATTGGGACGTTAATATTGAAAGTAATGAAACAGTTAGTGTATAGTAGAGCGACAATTGACTCTTGCGAACTTCACTTGATTGCGTATAAAAACTAATTTGTTCTTAAATCGATCTAAGTATAAAGAAAAATGTGGATGTGTTTATTCGGCGATTGCGATTATTTGCCCCGTTGCTCCACTTTTACTGCGTGTAGTCGGTGTCGCCCTTCGAATAGTGTATGCAGGCCAAAACGGTATCCAGCAGATACAGTGCGCCCTCGATGACGCACAGCGATCCCATGGCAATGCCCACTTGGCGCTCCGAGTTTACGTACAGGAATCCCTCGTCGGACATATAACCCTTCCAGTAGTGCAGGGCCACTCCACCCACGGTGATCCACATGATGCAGCCAACCACGTTCATGATGGTGTCACAGAGCTCTCTGCAAAAAATATAAACAGAATCGCAATAAGTTTTAAATCCTATGAGGTCTCAAGACAAATTTAGAAAGTTTAACAGTTAAATTGTAGAATATTTATAGGGTTGCTTAATGACACGACTTTCAAAACTTGTTGTGTATATTTAACTGATATTTGTGGCGTTAGTTAAAGCTACTTTTAATGTGATTATGAGAAGATATGTGTTCTAAAGAGTCCCTAACAAATTCCATTCCAACTGGGATAACCTTTGGCTTGCTATGCTATACTATGATGATTTCTCAATGCTCCATTAACTTACCCCTTATGCTTGGTGGTGCCAAAGGCGAAGGCAATCGTGTGGCATCCAGTGTAAATCAAAAATCCAACCATAACGCCCGAGGCCACGATTTCCGCATCGGCGCTCTTCTCCTCGTTCAAGTTCCAAGTGCCGCCAATGCCCAGGAATTCGCCGCCATCGCCCCAACGGTACAGGAAGATGATCACCAGGTTGATGATCTGCAGAAAAAAGGGGACGCAGGAGAGCAATGAGGTCATGTATTCCGCGAGTGAATCACATTCCAGCCACGCCTCGCCGTACACCACGGCGTATGAGTAACATTGCTAATACGCCAGGACTGATAAAACGCGCGCTTATCAGCCAAGTTATTGCGACTACACAGTCTGTTGCTCAATTCGTGAAGGGAGTTGGTAAAATAAAACCCAAAACTTACCAGCTTCAGGGCCTTGATGAATATAGAACCGATTGTCTCCACGGACACCATTTTGCACTAGACGCTGATTTTGTTTTCGTTTGGCTGGAATTAGGGGGCACACATTAGTTTACAATAACCTATAAAAATTCCCCTTAATCAGTGGGCACTCACAATCTTTTCTGTAATTTTCACACGGAAACTACAACAAATGATTCGTGTTCGTATCGTTGTCGTTCGACGACTAAACTGAAAATATCACTGAAAGGCAAACTGTTGCTCGCATAGGCGCTGTATTGTAGCCAAGAATTTTGTAGCTTTTGCAATCTGAGCATACACGGTCAGCGATAAGATAAGGCATTCGACGATACGATAACAGGTGCTATTCGAAATGGGTTACTAATTTGTTGACGGTTCCTCCGGGGGCGGTAAAAAAAAATCTAGATGCGCATGCGCCAGTGAGCCCCACCCGCGTATCTTATCGTCGGTTTGTCGCCTTACAACGCGATATCAGGTGCTCCGATTTGCTGGTTCTCGCAGCATTATTGTACATTATTCATGGCGGCCACAAAGCCACAAAAGTGGAAAACAAAGCTTGGGGCTATCGAGAGGCCGGAAACAGTTTGTCTTGCGTCACCAGTGGATTTTTGAAATACTTTGGGGTGAGCCATTGGCCTGGCATTCCCCCCGATAACGACGATTCCCCCTTAATGCTTGTAACGCATCCCCAAAACCTTGAAAATCCACTGACCTTGTCGCATTTCGATGATCGATAGCCCACTTTGATTATATGCATTCTCGCTACTGATTGAAAACTCTCTCACCCAAATCACTGCAACTAATCTGCATTTCAATTAACTCAACCCTAGCACAATAATCATAGCTGTGTGGCCCATGTTCAAGATTTCGAATCAATTGGAACATCACAATGCAAGATAATAGCGACAATTGCCGAGAGTGAAACCTCGTTTGCGGTTGGCATGTGGGACCCCAAATGACTACTTATTATAGTAAAACGGAGAGTAATTGCTTTTTGCAAGCTGTGGATGAATGGGTGGTTTTTATGAATTACTTAAAAATATATTACGTCCACATTATCGTATACTACTAACTCATGTTAAGCTAGCTTTTCTTGTTTTTAAATTTAGTTGTTCTACATTAAATATTCGAAATTGCAATGTAGTTAAAGATATTTTGTAAAACTTTGAACATTAATTGATTTTTTTTTCGTTGTTAAAGTCACCAAAAAACACTTTGCACCTCGTGCATTCTGTTTTATATTTTATAAGCACCATTACATTTTACATGTATAAATCATAAGTTGAGAATATGAAACAAAAACATGACATCACACCTCGTCAAGAGGTTTTTTTACGACCTGTCATTGAGTAGCAAGTACACACACAGATCCACGAGTACTATATATAAACAAGTATAACTTACTCAGTGCGAGGGATTATTGGGTTTCATTCGGATGCTGAGTAACAGGAACACTATGGAATATAAGTTGTGGGGTGTTGTGGGGGTAGAAAGTTTTTGCAGCCCAGTGTATTTTGTTAGGTTTTTTTTATTTTTTAATTTAATACATGCTTAAGAATTTTATCAAAATATGTCGACGACCTTTGCTCGTTTAACTAAGTGGAAAGCCTTTTAAAATGCAAATTACAAACCAATCTCTTAAAATGCTTTAAATACATCAAGGTTATTTCCATATCTTCGGCTTTGTGAAAACAATAAAGTTAATCATGTTTTTCATATGTTTATTTAGACACAACTCTGTTTAAAAATGATTAATAAGCATCAACAGTTATGTATTTTTATATTGATTGCAATGGCTTGACCAAATCCAAAAGATGATAAGATTAGATTCAGAAATTAAATGTTTAATAGGGAATAAAGAAACCTGCGAGTGCTTATTTAAGTATACAGATATAGCTTTGCATTGCATTTCCAATGCAAATTGCCTGGGGCCTGAAAAAGTAAGGAATTTCTTCCAAATCAAGGCCAGAGGTTGCAGTGTTCTTTCTTTAGGTTCCTTTGTAGCCGATCCCCTTGCGATTCTTCCCGTTTCTCGTATCGAATCTCCAGGGAGTACCAGAAAAAGTCTTTAATTTTGGAATTTGTCTCCTCTGCGTTCGCTGCCGATGAATCATTTGGCAGAGAGAAGAGAGCAGAGAGTTGCGGCAGAACAACAAAAACCGGCATGCAATTGCCACCAACACAAGTGCAGCTCTTGTTTGGAGCCCTCTCTCTCCGTTTATGGGGAATAGAGCGAGATAGAAGTGAGAGTTGACTCCATAGCTACTAGCTTTTGTGTGTCAATTGTCGTCAACTAAACATTATTAATAGTGATGAGACATATATTACATTACTCAAGTTACAATTCCAAGGATCACTTTCGTTAGCGACATTTCAATAACATATTTTGTTTTTACAAAATATATTTGTTAAAGCTTTTTTAAGCTTAATCCCAACAATTAAGAACATTTTAAACTAGTAATCCACATGTTTCCCATTAATAGAATAATTCGAATATAGCTAGCGCTCGTACGTAATTTTTCAAGGTAGGTAATACAAAAAATGTTCTGTTGCAAGTTGCACTTTCAAGCTCCAAAACTTCTGATATAAAATAATAGGTCGTGGTAACAAATACATATACAGCCAAAAAGCAGTAAATTGAGAATGATCAACTAGCTGTACTAGCTGTGGATTACAAGGTTATTAATAAAATAGACAAGAGGCTGCTAGGACCCTACCCGCAACATACCCAGAGTTTGCTAAAGAATAGCCAATTTGGCAGTCCTGCAACCAAACCGTTCTTTCTAGCTAGTGTTGTACCAATCAGACTTTGAGAGCGTCACTTAACATTGCAGAACATTACAGCTATGTAAACTGTATCTCAAGACGAGAGTATTTAACACATACTCGCGAATGCATCTGTAAGTTACGTATGATTATTTGCACACCTTTAGGAGCACTTACCTGCCATATTTGGACTACCTGGCGTCAATGAGGTGTGACAGCGATTTGGTAATGAGATTTTCGAACCGCTCTCTGTGGGCGGACTTAAATTAATTGGCAGACATTCGAGAAGTGACTCAGAAAATTGTAGATGAACACATGGCAGCAGAGCTTTTCGATTTTGTTTTGATTATTATTTGATTTCGCCTCTTCTTCTTTCGCCGGCTGCGTTGTTGCTATTTTATGAATGAAAGTTCCGTTTGTTTACCTTTGCGCTTTTGAGCGTGCGCACGAATCTTTCTCTCTTTCGAAGAGCGAGATAAAGAGAAAAAGAGAGAGTGAAAAGTGAGAGTAAAGAGTGTGGGTAAGATGCTTATCACTCGAGTTCAAAGAACACACACTATCGCAAATAAAAAGTTTTCGCCACTCTAAAAATTGCGGTAAACTCATGTGCTGCACCACTGAAAACTTGAAGAGATTTACGAGTTATTTAGCAAGTCGGTCGACTTTCAATTAATTTAAATGTGTTTTTGAACAAACAATTTCTTCAACCCCGCTATTTACTGTCAACTTTGAAATTGACGAAAACGTATTTGGCCAGCATTTTATGACATTTGCTCAACGCTTGCATTCATATTCATAGAATTATAGACATACAATCCCACAGCGGCGGTAAACAGAATAAACATATTCTGATACAAAAGTATAAAATGGCATTGGAAATGCGATCTTTCCAAACCAATTTAGATTCGGATTTTTATTTTAGTATTTTTATTGAGTTTTCAAACTTTGTTGAGAATTAAGAATAAAAAAAATTGCATGTTTCAGAATTAAAAATTTTTTTTTTTTGATATTTGATACTGTAAATAGTAATAAATTTGTTAAACTAGTACATGATTTCTTTTGTTGAGTTTAAATTGAACTTATTGTTTCAAATGGGTTACGATTCTCATCAAAATGGGCGGAAAAAGAGATTACATAAAATTTAAATCTATTTGTTTACAGATTTTAAATTTTAAGTTAATTTCTAGAAGAAAAGTACTATTTCAAACAGAAAACTTTGTCAGGACATTTGAAAAATGTTAAAATAGCAGAGACTATAAATTTGTGGCTTGAGTTCTATTCTTTTAACCTCAACTGTCCCAGTACAGTCATAGACCTGTGAGTGGGAGCGGGTAGATGGGTGCCTTGTTTAACCAGACCGACTGCCGAACCCCATCTTCGTGTCGTTATCCTTATCAGGCGAGTGTGTGACAGGCTTCTCTGCTGCCTTCGGGGTCCTTTAAACGAGCGGATGGCTTCGCAGTCGCCTCAGTTCGTCGGCAGCCGTCCCACAGTGCGGATGACCCAAAGCGGACCGCCGACCTCCGACCTTTGACATCGAAAGTTCGGTTGCGTTCGCGATTTTTTGCCGCGCTGTCATCGCGATTTTGAACGCTTTCGAACCGTTCTGTGTTTTGTTGGTGCCGTAATTCCGAGGATAGGATACAAAAAAAAAAAAACAGAGTAAAAAAGGCATCAAGAGTTACATGACTAAATAAAGTAAAGCCTCCTCGTTCAATAACAAATCAATCGAAATATGTATACCCGCTTTGCTGGATGCACCCACGGTAAACAAGAGCTCCTACATACTATGATTGTTTGTCTGCAAACATCGCATTCGTTACCAACCCGATTTTTAGCATACAGTGCGTTTCGCCACTGAGTGACACTCGTCGAAGCAAAATTTGCATAAAGTGTGGGATTAAAACCCGCACTTCTAATGAGTTGCTAAGCAGTAAACAATTTCCCAACTAAAGAGATCTGGTCTTGCCTTAAATTGTGGTTCTTTTGGTTAGGATAATCTTTGGACTGAATACATTTAAACCACTTCAAATTGTAACCACTTTATTTATTATCTACATTTTATTTCAATTAGAAGACAGTGTTGTCGTTTAAAAAGTTGTAATGCACTCCGAATAAAATTAATTTTAGGAAAGTTTTTCTTTTTTTGTACATCGCCCTATTAATGTGTGTAAGAAATCAATTTCATTAAATTATATTATTTACAAAACTGCGAGAGCTTGAGATTACAGAGCTTAAAAGAAATTTTAAATCTCCGTAGCTTATTTAAATTGGTGTTAAATTGTTTTTAACAAAATGTTACTTTTAATTCTGAATCCCACTGTAATATATGTACCAATAGATATGTCACTCATCCTTGTTTGAAGCCATTCGTATGTAGTCCTTGATTCTGACGTTTGTTTGGATGACTTTAAAAGGTCATAGATAGATAGATAGAAAAGAGCGTAAATTGTCAAATGCTTATTCGGCTTAAACAGTCTGACTTTTATTGAAACAACGAATTTATTTGTTTACATTTTGACACGGAAATGTGTTATCTTTTCGCAGAACAACTTGCATTCTATTTTAATGACCAAGAGAAGAGTGAGGGTGGTGAAATTGTGGCCATAAAAATTCAATGAAATCATTTATTTCAATGGCTTTCATTCTTAATGAATGTTATGGACTGCATTTCGTTCACATTTAAACAGTTGAACCATTTAGTAAATGGGCTTGCTATAAGCATATGGTAATTGAATCGTTTGTAGTGATTATTTCTTACAAATGAAACTTTATGGGATTCTGTGATAATATTGAAATTATTCCAGGTTTTTGTTTAAATTTAATTGTTATGTGGCTTTTGTATAAGTTTCTGCTTTTAGTTATTATCAATTTTGACTTAATCACATCGTAAAATAAATAAATAAATCCTCCTTGTAAAGTACCAACCGAGTAACGATTTAAAAAGACAAAACAACAGTTTTAGAACTTTAATAAATGCAAGCAAGGAGTTCAATAAAAAAAAATGTATAAAAAACTTTAAAAATTGGGCTTATTTCCTAATAGTCGAAGGTTTTTTACTTATGTGAATTTAAAATCTTAAATTCTTCCGTGCCTTGTAGGTATTAAATTCCATCTACCATTACATCTCCTCAAAGCTGTGGATTAATGTTTGCCTCCACAAGGAACTGCTCTCGGCATTTATTTCTTTGCGACAGAGATTTGTGAATTTGTAATGCTTAACATACTTTCGGGCATAAGAAGTACTAGATAAACGTAATCATGGCGGAGCGTTTCCTTTATTGGAAACACAAAAGCGAGTGGGCGGCAAATGCCTTCTGCCATTGGGCCATTGGGCTTCTTTTTTTGGCCCTCTTCGGAGCCTTCAAATATGCATAAACTAATTTCGGCTTATGCAACATACTTCTCGGCCAGGCCCACGGCATCGATGCTGCTGCTCATCATCCTCCCCTGCTGTAATATTCATTACCTAGCCAGCCAGCCCATATGTGCGCTTCCCGTTCGCCGCTGAAACATTTAAATGCTAATAAATTTCGTTTATGGGCGAGAGCCGTGCTGGACAGTCGTGCACTTGGAAAAATTAAGTTTCGTTTTACGAAAAAAATACGGAATATTTTGCATTACAAGTTCTTCATTTGGAAAAAAAACCTATTTAAGTTAGTATTAAAAAAAATGGGACATTAACGTAGTTTTTCTATATATTTTTCTGGGTAACTATTGTTAATATACTTCAGATAAGGACAATTAAAGTTATATTTGAATACTATACCATTGAATACAAATTTTAAAGTAATTTTGAATGCAACCTTATACTTTATCTTTTTTTTTTGCACATGTGTGGCATAATTTATAAAAAAAATAGATGGCTTTCATAAGGATTGTTGTAAATTGGGTTACATACATTAAGTTTTCCAATTGCTAATTTCTCTTAATAACGTTTCGTTGGTTTTCAAAACGTGGCTTTCCAATATTAGTTAAACTTAGTTCTTAAATGCGTACCCTAGTTTGCCGTCTACCAGAGGTCAAGAAGTAGACATGAAATGTAATTCTTTTAAGTGTAGAAACTGGGACTGGTCTCCGATGACGTTCGTGCTAGGCACTCGTGACGTCCGGACCCCAAAAAAAAAAAAGAAAAAAGGTGCAAAGTCAGGTGGGGACGGGAAGGAACTAAGCTCCTGCTTGAGAAATCCTCCGCGTTGCCAGAAGAAGAAATGGCCACGGAAAATGATTTATGACTGCCAGCTCTGGCTAAGGCTGCAAGCCAATTCCATTCCTTGGTTTGTTTGGTCATCCGCTGCCTGCTCGCCGGATGTGGGGGCCAACACAAATAGCTCCAAGATTTGTCGAACGCGTCGGCTGCTGAATATTTGGTATATTGTGTATGGAGTATGGTGGTGCCGTGGAGCGTCATAAATCAATTTAAATGTGAAAATTATTGCCGCATACTTTTGGGTTGTTGTCGGGAATTTTTCATAAACAAAACACAACAGGAATTTGTGTGAACAGGAATGGGGGAGGATTCCTAGCCATTTTGACACACATGTGACACCTTAAATCTATAGCTTTTTAAGGCTTGCCTAGTATAATGTTACTTTATAAAAAGCTTTATATTTTTTTTTGTGCTTTTGACAGCAAATAAATTATAGCATTTTATATTTGTAATTTTTGTTTTCCCAAGCATTTGATTTAATATTTGATTGCTTAAATTTAATTAGACATAATTATGCTAAAATTTATATGCTCTCATTACGAACAAATACCTAATGAGTGATCATTCATTTTAATTTCACATAATCAGCGTTCTTTACTCATGTTAAAATTTCTTTCTTTTCAGGTAATTGAACGATTTTATCTTCGCAATGATGCCTTAAATTAGCACAAGTTTGCAAATGTAAGTTTTAAGACCTTGACAAATTATCTGGTTATTTACGAGGCCAAAATTTCCTCTTAAGATAACAGAGAAAACTCGATGCAAAGTTTGCAGCGGAAGCTGCTGACGCTTTGAACATTTTCTTTTCGGCCTCTTTAGGGAAAATTATTGTTTTCCCTTCCTTTTGGCCAGAAAAATAAATATCCAAAGTTCAGGGCCTTGGTAAACTTTAACGAAAGCACCCGTATTTCTGCAAAATAAAGAACAATTTTGACTAAATCGTTGACTTTGTAGAAATTTGAATTTAAAAATATAATTTGTTCATAATACTTGTGTTTAATTAAGTTATAAAAGTGTAGTTTTAAGTTCCCACCACAAATTCTTAAGTGAATTTTCTTCAACCAGCTCTGGATGAAGTTTCAAAGCAGCACCGTTCGTTTATTTTTGTCTTCTTATCTTGTACATTTTTATCTTCTGCTGAGACTTTCAATTTCCACGTACGTGGCACCTGAAGTTTTCTGCGTGCGAGGCAAAAAAAAAACTTAAATTTAACGTGTCAAAAGCTTATGAGCTTCAATTCAAGAACTCAGAAATGTCAAAGCGGAAATTCGGTAGCAATAAATTGGCTAAAACATGTATTGATTCTTCACTGCGGCATAAAATATATTTCGGCAACAAAACAATTCGAATTTTAGATAAGCAGCTAAAATTATTTTGATAAAATGCTGTGTGCGTTATGTATTTTTTCAACATTTTAAAAGATAATGAAATTAAATGCGTTCTTTTTATTAGTGAAAGACAAAATGAACTTTCTTTCTTTAACGAAAGTAGCTACAATTGTCATTTAATTAACGATTCAAAGGCTCAAAGCTGGAAATTCTAGACGAAGAAATACGCTTTCGCTTTGCGACCTTCGCCACTATTGATTTAAAGAGGGACTGAAATCCCTAAGTTCGCGCTCAACAAAGGGCCCCTTCTGCTGTCTGGAGCAATGCCATTTTAGAGCTATTTCTTGAATTAATCTCCCCGGAATGCTCCTGGCCCAGCGTGCCACATCCTTTGCAGGTACAAAAACAGACAACGACAGGTGGGCGGTGAGTGGCTGCCCAGAAAACCAATTTGGTCATTATCTGAACACATAAATCAAAGTCAGTGCAATTAGCGCCAAGGTAGAAGTCCATTTTAAAATTAATTAAACCGAAAACAAATCCACAAAACGAACCGCACGAAGCCCACACACAGCCGGATCCGGATACGGATCCAGACCCAGAACCGGAGTAGGAAAAGCCAACAACACGGGTGAAAATTGAACGCTCTTCTCCGGAACCCATCGCCAAACATGGGACATTGGCAAGTGGAAAACTCCTGACTGGTTGAATTACAAACAAGCATCAGGATGGATTTCCCAAGGACTTTGATTGCTCACTTTTATTCCGCTGACGAGTGTGCGGAAAAGTGCAATGCAGTCGTAGTACATCTAATTTCAAGCGAACATTCTAAATAGAAACCAATTACCTTTGACCGAATTGATTCTTGGAAAACCAACGAACAGTTTAACAATTTGTTAAAGTTGTTTTAAAAGAAACTATGACTTTGCATGGATTCTCATATTTTCTATACCTAAAAACTTAAAAAAATCATTTTTAAAAACATGTCCAACAAAGATAAACAATGGAGTTCGGTTATAGATACAAGAATTCCCAATCAAGAAAACTAGAAAATTTAATATCCAATTTTATGCAAATGAGCATATTAATCAATGGAAACTCAGTTTCTCAAAGTCAATCAGGTATTAGGCTGCATGCAGCAATTCAAACACATTTCATAATGAATGACTGCTTACTGAAAGTCATTTAGTCTATTCGCACATTTCATTTATTTTTGTCTAATCGCATTCGGGAAAAAACTTGACGATTATCTTTCATTTATAATGGCGGCTTCGGCTGGAATTGAAATCTAGTTTTAATCAATATAAATCACCAGTCGGCTCTCGATGGGCGCGTCAGGGGCATAGATTTCGTGTTCGCTGAATGCGAAGTGATTTATGCACTATTGGTGGGTGGCCGTCACTGGCCACCAACCTCCCACCTCCCACCTACCACCCACCGCCCACCACTCTCACGTAATTACTGCCGGTCCGGTTTGGTTTGGTTCGATGCACTGAGAATAAATCAATACAATAACAATAATAACATTATACTCAATTCTTTTTTTTTTGCGTTAATAAACGTTTAAAAAAAATCTAAACAAAGCCACTTTCTTTGTCAAATTATAATTATTAAATTATTTTGGGTAGTTGTTTGACAAGTATTTTATTTTATTTAGTAAAAGTTAAAAGCAAGAAAAGAAGTTTATATACCATTGCAGCACTATAAAACGAAAATAATCTACAAAACGATTATATTTTCATAATTCTGATTTTATAATATCAGGTGGAGAATTCTTTAAAATCAGTAAGACATCTTCATAAATTAACACATTTAAGACGGTCCTTTTGATATGTGATTAATTTATAAAATTCTTTATATCACATTGCTATATCAGATTTAATTTTTCTACTACACGGATAAACATTTCTTAGTATATAGACTGAAAGAGGGAAGATATTACTAGTTGAAAATTTTAAAATATCCAATTGATATAAGACAAATTTGTAAAATTGCTAACCAGTTTTTGACCATGTTTTCTCTCAGTAAGTGGTGTTTTTTTTGGTGTGGTCCGGTCCGTCGGTTCTTAATTTGATTTGTGTCCTGGGCGCGGCGTCCGGCGATGCAGGCTCACTCGGCCTCCGGAGGACTCCCGTCAGGTGAGAGGGGTGCGGCCCGGACTGGTCTGGAATGGTCTGGACTGGACAATGGTCACTGATTGTGCGGTGTCGTCTGCCGGTGCTGCATAGCTGGCGGCAGTCTGTGGATTTCCGCAAGAGCCTCTCTCTCGGACAGCAGACTTCTGTCCATGACTGGATAAATCCGAAAAACTAATTAAATTTTATAAATTGCGAAACAGTATAATTTAAGCAAGATAGTAATTCACTTCGAAACCAAATCCAATTAAGTGTAGCAAACACTATGTAGACAGGAATTTTAGTTTTATTTTTTCAGCTTGACTCATTTAAGTAAATTCTTACAGATTTGTTGAAACAAATGTAATTTCAAATGTTTTTAATACTATTTATTAAAATTTGGGTTTGGTAAGTCAGTTCTCTCCAACTGTAAATCACAACTTTGTACTTCTGAAAAATAAATTGAATGACATATATGTGTTCATTAGCAAACTAATTAAACTTTAAGAAAATCCAAGAAAACTTTGTTAAAGTTAAATAAAATTCGGTTGGTCTAATTTATCGGACTTAAACCATTTTTCAAACGGAATTCTTCAAAGAAAACTTTCACGAAAAACTTTGGCAAGTTGAAAAGCGACCATTAAGGAGAGAATTAATGCTGTCATGGTAGACATTTGGAGCACCCTCCAAAGTCCAATTTCGCGCTGACGTCGTTTCGATATTTCATTTTTGAAATGGCGTATATATTACGTTAACCCCTCAATTGGCCTTCTAAAAAACCCGAAACCCGATAATGTCCGAAGGGGTGGGTGGGGTAGGGGGCATTATCTTTAGCCCCGACAATAGAGACGTCAAAAAGTTAAGGCTAATTAGCATGATGTGGATCAACAAGCGGGTAATAGCGTCAAAAATTTATAAACGCCCGGCGTTTGCAAAAGCGGATGCAAAGTCTGAAATTTCTGCCCGCTGAGCATGTCTTTGGTTTGCTTTCTGGTTCCGTGTTTTCAGCAGATTGAAAGTTAAAGTTCCGCCAGCGCCCGAGGAACTGCGACACCCAACTTTGTTGCCAATTGGGGTCAGTGGAGACACAAGGCAGCCACTTTGCAGGGGGTCATCACTTGGAAAAAAGATTGAATCATTTCATGCTGTTGTCACCGAAGTCTTAATTTATTTTCGGATTTTATAAGGTTTCTCCGATTTGTTGCCAAATTTGTTCTTATGAACAGTTGACTAAAAGTTCATATAACTTTTAACAGAGCTGTGACATTTTGTAATGCTTTTAAGCTTGTTAAATATTTAAAGAAATGCAAACAATTTACAATGAAAAATTAAAGCTTATTTATTTGTATTTATGCTAAAATGTAATATTTTTCCAAGTGCATTTCTGTATGTGTGCCGAGGGGCGCTTCTTGTTTATCAAATTTATTTAGCAAATGGACCTCAAGCACTTTTCCTCGCTTTGTTCTGCCCTGTGCGCCGCCAGATTGGTTGCGGATGAAATTGTTTGCTTTGAAACGGAAACTGGGTTTGAGTGGCGCATCTCCGAGGTCCCATTGCCGCATCGCCAGATTGCCACGTCGCCAGTTCCCACTTGCCACTTGCCACTTGCCACTCAGACAATAAAGGATAACCGCAAATGTCCTGTGAAGCGGAGCGTGCCCGAATGAGCCAAGCATGCGTCATTTTCCGCTCGCTTAATGAAACGTCGCCAACAAGCCATACGGCTGCGATGCTAGGCCATCGATTCCGAAAATACCGAGAAAATCCCTAGAATGTTAAACTATTTCGCAAGAGCCCAGACTGACACGCACAGTACACTGAAGTTAAAAATTATACCGAAAGAAACTTTACTTTTCATAAGAGAGCTTTAAATCTTTTGTATGAACGTCAAATTTTCAAACGTTGCTCTTCTATATCTGGGATATAATTGTTATAGATTCAGTAAACTAATTCCTGGGTTCCGTAAAAAAGTTTTTTCGTCAGTTCTATTTACGATAAATAATTTAAAATCATACTATTTATGATTTAAAACTTTAATATAATAATTTATTTTATCACACACAGCGTGTATTATATAAACAAATATTTTTGTTTAATTATGAAAAATTAGATTTCCGATTTAGAACCAAAATGGATTTTGTTCAGGCTTAGAAAAAGCACTTCCCAATTTTATCAATATCTAAAAAAGTAAAGCAATTATTTTCTTTATAATACGATTTTGAAATTTTTACTTCTGAAT